GGCGAGTCTGTCCCCGTGAAAACACGTTCACGAGCAGCGCCTGTGTCCTAGCCCCAGCCCGCGCGGTGTCCGTCCCCGGCCTGCCCGTCTCCCGGGAGAAGGGTTGGAAGAGACGGGTGGAAGGCCAGCACCCAGCATCTGAGCGGCTCGTCCAGGTCCATGGGCGTCGTCAGGCACAGACCCGAAACCCCGCCCCCTGAGTGAGAACCGGACACGCTCCCCGCGGGTGGGCTGTCGGTGTCAGCAGCACACTCTCGGGCTAGGACCGTGGCTGCCTCATCCGAGTGGAGGGGGGCTGGAACCCGCCGGCGCAGGGGGAACTGAGGCCGGGTCTCCTCATGGTCTCCACCCCCGGGTGCCCGTGCCCGCAGAGGGGGGGCCGCCCAGAGGCCAGAGCTGCTCCCAAGCCGCACCGGGGGGAAGTGGTTCCCAGGAACCTAGGTGCGGCCTGACCGCTGTGCACAGTCAACACTGTTCGCTGTCCCTCCGCCCCGTCTGTGGGCACGGGGGGCGCTGGGCTCGCTCCCTTCGCACGCCCCGTGCCGGGCCCCTCTCCTCCGCAGCAGGACGGGCGACAGTGCAGGGCGAGCGCCGCGTGTTTTCGCTCCCGTGAACTGTGACCCGTGCAGAGAACGGGTGCGGGTCACGCCGAGGCCTGCGACCAGTATCAGTGGGCACCGCGGAGACTGTGTGTGGTGGCGTGGTGGGGGCGGCGTGTGCGCACGGTGCCATGAGCGTGGGCCTGCCCTGACCGCCCTCTCTCCCGCAGTCGAGCGAGATGCCCAAGTTAACGGAGCAGTTGGCCGGCCCCCTCCGCCAGATGCAGGTGAGACCCCCCTCCCCACGCGGCACGGTGTCTGTGGGGGGCCGCCCTGCCTGCTCCGTGTCCTCGGGGCCGGGGGTGGCGTCCTGGGTGTCGCTGTCCCCCGAGGGCGAGGTGGCGTCTGCCCCATTCCGCAGTGTGCAGGGCGGTCGGGACGGTGAGCTGCCCGGCGGGACGCCGAGAGTCCCTAGAGAGTCCCCGGGTGTTACCGGGAAGTGGAGGCCCCCAGAGCCACGGGGGCCCCTGTAGCTGCAGGGGTTCTCGGCCTCCTGGACGGCCCAGGAGAGGAGAGTGTGTCTGACAGGGCCGGTGCCTGGTTTTGGCAGAGGAGGCGCAGCCGGGGAAAGCCTGGCGTTGACCGCTTCCCAGGGCCGACCGCTTCCGTGGGGCGGGGAGGCGCCACGCAGGGCGGAGGGGCCACGGCTCTTTCCGGGCGGGGAGCGCAGGCGGCAGGCGGGCCGCCGGCCGGGGAGAAGGGCCCGTGGGTGCCGGCTTTGGCACTGGAGGGGACAGCGGTGGGGCAGCTCAGCGACGGGGGGTCCCCCTCTGTCTCCACAGGAGTGTGCTAAGCGCATCGCCAAAGTCTCGGCAGAGGCCAAGTTGGAGATCGATGAGGAGACTTACCTGAGCTCCTTCAAGCCTCACCTGATGGACGTAGTGCACACCTGGGCCACCGGGGCGACCTTCGCCCACATCTGCAAGATGACCGACGTCTTCGAAGGTAGGGCTGACCCCGTGTGCGCGCCGCTTTAACGGGGCGTGAGTCAGAGGTTCTTTTAACTTGGGGTGGAAAACCGGAGCCTCGTGGCCGTGCAGGTCAGACGTGTTCTCCCCATGTTCTCTGTACCGTCTACTGGACGTGGTCCGCTCGGCCCGAGTCCTCGAGAGGCTCTTCCCGTAGGTCGTGACCCTGGACCAGGGCCGCTCTCTGGTCTTGCCCCGCCCCCCATCCCCAGTGCCGACTCGGCGGCCTGCCGTGTCACCCACGGAGGGACCGCGGGACGGGAGAGGCATCTGTCACTGCCCCTCCGGGAAGGCGCACCGTGCCCTCACACACGGCGCTCCTCGCGGAGGGGAGCTTCCTGCTGTTCGGTTCAAGAAAGATCAAGGGCAGCGGCCCCGGGAGTCCAGGACACCCTGTGGGACCGGTCGTGTGGGGGACGTCGCTGTGGTCTGTGCCCGAGCGGGGCAGTCGGCACAGGCTGGGAAGGCGGCCTGGGAGTGCAGGGGGCTGGCTATAGCTCCCGCCGCCTTCCAGGCTGTCCGCCCGTCACTTCCCTGGGGCGGGTTCTGCCCCCCACCCCCACCCCCCAACCCCCCTCCCCCTGGCCGCTCGTGAGGACGGAGCAGCAGGGCTTGTCTCCCAGGGCGGCCGAGGTCAGGCGGCAGAGGACTTGGGTGCAGACTGCGTCCCTGCCCCAGCGTGCGTGCCCAGGAGACAGCCCCACGCCTGGGGACCAGCAGGGACTCTGCCCTCCTCCAGCTCCGGGGGGCCCCTGGGCTCCCTGTGCACGGGGCTGGGGGTCCCTCTGGGCCCAAGCGTTCGGTGGGGTTCTGTGCCGTTTGTCTCTGTCCCGGCTGTCACTGTTGCTGTGGATGCCCCCGAGGGAGCGTGGCTGCTGGGTGCCAAGTGGCAGGGTGGGGGTGGGCGGGGCCTCCCCGGGACCCCAGGGCCTTGTGCCGGCAGCCAGAGGGCTCCCTGTGGCCTGTCCTGTAGAGCTGGCCTCTCGTCTCGGAGGACACCCCCCCCCCAGTCAGGGAGAGCTGCCTCCGTGCCCACCGCCCTGGGGGCCATGCCTCTCGGCGGGGGGCCGGGGGGCAAGGCGTGGAGTGGGGAAGGGCCTGAGCCCCAGTTGGGATGAGCCATCCCTCCCACCCCCGTCACCCCCCCCTCTCGTGGCACTGCTGCTCGTGGCTTCGAACCAGGCCTAAACCAGGCCTGGAGCAGGGGAGCGTCCCGTGCCCGGGAGACGGCCGTCCTTGGGAGGCGGTGTCATCCCCACGCATCCGTTGAGGTGACCCCCTGCCGTGTCTGTGGCCAGGCCCCTCACCGTGCCCTGGCCCCGGGCGTCCTGCAGGGAGGGTGTGTGTCGTCCCCCCTAACACCCCCCCGCCCCAGCTCTGTGCTGACAACAGATGGGGGGCCGGCGGTCCCCGCTCCAGTGCCCTTCCACTCCGCGAGTCCCGTCTCCCGCCGACCCCCCAGCACACACCACGGGGCAGGGGACATGCAGCCCTCATGCCGCGCGGCGGCCAGTGCATCGCAGGAACCGGTCACCCGTGGACGGACGACTCCGGCGCAGGCCCTGCTGTGTCTCGGCGTCACGGGCGCAGACCCGGGGCCCATGAGCCCGGGCCGTCCTCGTGAGGTCTGACCGGACACCGTCTGCAGCCTCCGCTGCTCCTGAGCGCGCACTGGCTCAGGCCCCATGGGAGGGCAGGGCCGGCTCCCCTTCCCGGCGGCCGCCTCGGGGGCGCTGTGGGGACAGAGCCCCGGTGGTCAGTGGCCCTGACGGTCAGCGGCGCTGTTCGGGTGACGGGGACCCTGTGGTTCCCCTGCTGACGGGGCTGCGCCCAGTCGGCCCTGCGCTCGGGCCCTGACCAGGCAGCCTGGGGGGCCTTCCCGCGTTCCCTGTCCCGTCGCTGCCGGCACCCTCCTGGTCCCCGGGAGCCGGGGCGGGTCGCCCGCCGGTCTCTGGGCTGTGCCCCGAGTCACTCTCCCTGGCCAGGCCGGCCGCTGCCTCTGTTCTGTGGGGGCAGGTGTGGCCGCGGGGAGCCCGCGGCCCTGCCGCTCTGCAGACCCTTCCGGGTGCCGCACAGGGCCTGGCCCCCTGCCTGCCCCCCCCACCTCACACGCCCTGCCCCTCCCCCCCACAGGCAGCATCATCCGCTGCATGCGGCGCCTGGAGGAGCTGCTGCGGCAGATGTGCCAGGCGGCCAAAGCCATCGGGAACACGGAGCTGGAGAACAAGTTCGCGGAAGGTGGGTGTGTGGGCTCTGTCCCCCCCCCCCCCCCCCGCCGGGGGCCTCTGGCGGCGCGGGGGCGGGACTTTTCAAGGCCTTCTGCAGGCATCTCCCAGCACAGGGTCCGGCAGCAGGCAGGCCCGCTGGAGGGCGGTTGGTGGGTGGGGCAATCACGTGGGTGTGATAATGAAGTTTTATCTGAACGTTTCACCTACAACGTCAGATGGTGCGCCTGAGTGGGACACGTTACGTCACAGAACGCTTACGGTTTTGTCGTGAAATGGTTGTGAAAAGAGGGTCCTTGGGGCCGGACCCTGTTCTTACGGGCACTCCCTGCGTGCCGGCATCGTTTCAGGCACGTGGGGACGGCCGTGAGCAGGAAGCACCCAGGCCTGCGGGGCCAGCTGGGGGCGGGGCGGGGCGGGGGCGGGGCAAGTCAGGTCAGACGTGTCGGTCGGTGGTGGCTCCACAGGAACCGGCCGTGCGCCGGGGCCCAGGGGGCGCGGAGCAGGGCCCCTCAGCTCCCCTCCGCCGTGCCTGCAGGCTGGGTGCCGAGTGCGGCTCTGGAGAGCCGGACCCCAGGGTGGTCGTGGGGGAGGGAACGGGCCCGTGGGCGGGTTCACACGGCCCGTGGGCGGGTTCGCACTCCCCGTGGTGCACCCCGAGGCAGGGGCCTCACCGCCCCAACTCGGACAGCCCCCGCCCTGCCTCGGTCCCGGAGGCCCCCCGGGCACCGGGACCCTGGCGCCTGCAGGCTGGGGGTTGGTGCGCCTGGTCTGGGCCCGTCCTGGGACAGCCCGGCCTTCCCCCGAACGAGTGTGTGTGCACAGACATCACCCCCGCACACGCGCACACGTCATGAGGCGGGGTCTGGGGTCTGCATGTCCCACCCTCACGGGGGCTTTCGGACCTGCTGGTCTCCCGTGTGTGTGTGTGGGAGGGGGGCACACACGTCCTCAACACCCCGGGAGTGGGAGCCACGTCCCCAGTGGTGCCGAGAGTGTGAGCGGAACCGCATCTTCTCTCCTCAGGGATCACCAAGATCAAGAGGGACATCGTGTTCGCCGCCAGCCTCTACCTGTAGCGGCCGCGGCGGCAGTGGCGGCGGCGTGGGACTCGCGGCGCAAGCCCCACTGCGTGCGGCGGGAGTGGGCAGGGTCCTCAGACGTGGAGTGTGGCGTGAGTGCGAATCAGGCGTCACCACGCACGTGTGTGTACATAAGCGTTACATTTTTTAATAAAAATGTACAGTGGGGCGTGGTGGAGTGGAAGGCTGGAGGTGTCTCCGTGAGCTGAGCGCGGGCAGAGCCCCTCGTCGGGCGGCCGTGCGCACGGTGCAGTGAGCGGCGGGGGCGGCGGCGGCGTCCGCACAGGCCCGGCCGGGGCGTCCTCGGGGGGCCGGCGGGCCTCAGGGCTGGTGCGTGGTGGTCCTGTAGTGGTTCCCCGCGGGGGGCGTCTCGTGCAGCGTCGTGTGCGAGTCCTCCTCCTTGCGGTCTCTCAAAGCCGAGTTCCTCTCCTTGAAGAAGTCGGACACGTACACGACCTGCGGGGACAGCGGGTCGCGCTCAGAGTGGGGCCGCGCACCGACCCCCACGGCAGCGCGCGGGCGCCCCCGACAGGGCTGCAGTGGGCGGGGAGGGGGGGCAGCAACCACCAGCACGAGAGGGGGACGGGCACAGGGGTCTGCGGCCGACGGGAGCTGTCACGGGGGCTCTTCCAGACTGGGCGCTGCACCCCCCAACCCCCCGTCTGAGCTGTGCTCCGTGCAAACCCGGTTTTCACCCAGAACGCCCCGCCCTGAGTGTCCCCCACCCCGTGTGGAGGGACCGCCTGCCCTGCCGTCTGTGCCCTGGCCGCCTCTCACGCCGGCAGACCCGCGGGCTGGGCGGCACCCGGGAGCGGCTGCGCCCCGCACACTTACGACGAGCACGGCCACCAGCGCGCCCTGGAGGAGACCGGTCAGCACGTCGCTCCAGTGGTGCTTGTAGTCGGACACGCGCGAGAGGCCCACGTAGAGGGCCGTGGCGACGAGGCCGAACTGCAGCGTGGGGCGCAGCAGCCGCGCCCAGTCCGCCTTCATCCGGGCCTGCAGATAGAGCTGGGGGGGCGGGTGTCAACTGGCATCTGGACGACCAGGGTTCCCCTTCGCAGGCGGCGCTGTGGGCAGCGCGCAGCCCGGGGACCACATCCTCTGCCTCACGCCTTCACCCCTGACCTGCGGGCGCCCCGCGGCCCCGTCAGCTCCCGGGGCAGCGGGCTGAGCACCCGCCGAGGCACATGAACGGGACCCCAGCCAAGCACGCTCTGTGTGCAGCAGCACCCACGCCCTCGCCAGTCCCGGGACTCTCCTCGCACGCCCCCCGCCCCCCTGGCCCTGAGAACCTCCCTCCCCTCGTCCGCACGTCGGCCTGTACTGCCGGCCCGTGGGGAGGGAGGGGCCTGGGTCGTAGCCCTGTGCGCGCTGCCTAGCGAATCTGGACTCATGGAAGAATTCAGGCCTGATTTCCACCCAACAGACATCCTTTTGGGGAGGGGCGACACCTCGGGACTACAGCCCGCCGAGAGCAGGTCACCCACGCGCCCTGCTGGCTCGGGGCAGGTGCGCGCACCCTCCCCGCTCGAGGCCCTTCCCGCAGCCGCCTCGGCCCCAGTGAGCACTTCAGGGCGGTGGCGGTGGCGGCGGCAGCCGGCGGTGAGGAGCACGCCGCCGCGAGCCGAGGTGGGCGGCCAGCGGGGTGAGGGCTGCCAGTGCTTCGGAAAGCCCCCTGTCCTCCTTGTCGAGGCCACGAGACCGAACTGAGTGAGAGGCTGGTCTCATGCGGAGGGGGCTCCGGTCCCCACCCCCCCCGGGTCTCCGGTGGGACCTGTGGGGCCCCAGAAGCTGTCTCGCGCCCAGAGGACAGGCACGTGCCAGCCGCTGCGGAGAGAGGCCTGCTCCCCTTGGAAAGGCTGCCTGTCCCCCGCCTGCCCTGCCCTGCCCTGCAGCTGCTCCGCCTCTCAGGGAGGACCCGGGACTCTGGCCGGGCAGACACAGGCATCCCCTCTCCCCTGCGCCTGCCCGCACGGCAGCCAAGGGGGGACAGACAGGCGAGCACGCGACCCCCACCCCGGCTGCGCGAACACTCACCGCCACGAAGAGCAGGCTGTACATGGAGAAGGAGGAGTGGCCGGAGTAGAAGGACAACCTGGGGGGTGGGGAGGAGAGGAGAGGTGTCCTGAGCTGCACGCGGCCCTCCGTCCCACGGTGGGGGGGGCGGGGGGGGCAGGTGTGCACCGGGGTGGGGGGCGCTGTGCGGAGCTGCCGGCGTGGGCGGCGAGCCACGGAGCGCGGTCCCGCCCACCCGCCCAGCCGTGGCCGGCACGGACGGCCTGGCCGCACCACACACGTGTGCGCAGCTGAGACTTCAGGCCGGTTCCCGCCGGCCAGGTGCACGCCAGCGAGGCCCCCGGAACCCTCGGGAGTGGCCGCTTGTCACCGCGACCAGCACTTCCGAGAACCTGAGACAGTGACGTGCTGGCACTGCCGGTGCGCACCCCTCTCCCCTGGGGCGCCCCCCGCCCCACGCCCCCCCGTCAGGCGCTTCTGTTTGACGCTTGTTTTCAAGTCCTTTGCGCAGTTCCCGTCCCAGGTGTGTCGTCTCCCGGCGTCCCGGTCTGCGAGCACCTGCGGCAGCCCCCCCCACACCTGAACATGGCGGAACGCTCGCAAGCCCAGGGCCGCAGCACGTGGGGGACGGAACGGGCCGGCTCCCGCTCCCACGCCCCGAGTCCCGCTCACCGGGGCGCACGCCGGCGCGGGGTCGGCCGCGCGGGGGATGGGGCTCACGTGCCGTGAGACCGCGCCTCCCAGCCCTCCCCACCCACGCCCGGGGAAGAAGGAGGCCCACGTGACAGGCCCCGGAACGTGGCTCGGACAGCACCTGCGCGGCCCTGGGGGCGGCCGGCGCCCTGGACCGGACCACACCACATCAGGTGGGTGTGCGAGTCTGGCCACGCGTGGGGGGGGGGGGGACTCCGCGGCGGAGTGGCGAGGAGGCCTGGAGCCCGCGGGCAGTCTGTCTGTGTGGTCAGACACGCCCCTCAGAGAACATTCTCGCTCCCTGTGCCGACCACGGGGACCTTGTGGTCAGACTGGATGGTCACCCTGGGCTCCGTCTGCACAAAGCACCCGTGATGATGGGTCGCTGCCTCCCTGCCGACCATGGGGCCACCGAGCACAGGTCCGCCCAAACCCTCACACTGAACCCGACGCCCGTGGCCGAGCGCCCGCGCCCAGGAGCCCACGGGGAGTCAGAGCCGGCTGCAGGCAGCCGGCGCGGCCCGGCCACAGGTGCAGAAGCTCGCCTCTCGGGGAGACGCCTCACAGGTGAGCGTCCTGGGCGCCTGAGCTCGTGCTGCGGTGCTAACGAGCACGGCGTGCGAGCCGGGTGTCCGAGCCAGGTGTCCGAGCCAGGTGTGCGTGCCGGGCCGCCCCAATAAGAGCCGGCAGGGGAAGCAAACGCCTGTGACCCTCAGAGACCGCAGGACTGCAGGCCCGGAGGGTCCTGGGGACAGGCAGGCATCACACACACACACACACACCTCACACACACGAGGGCACACGCAGCAGACCAACTGCACGCACACGTCACACCCTGAGCAGCAGGAGCACGAGGGAAGGGAGGGACCAGCGGCGTTCCAACGCCCACAGCCAGAGCTTCCGCCCCCTGGGGCCCCGGCAGGACGTCTGTCTGGAGAACCCAGAGGCACAGAGGGTGTGAAGGACGCGCACAGGCAGCCCAGTCCCCACCGACACGCACCGACACGCAGGAAGGGTGCAGCGCTGAGCGAACCGGCCAGGGAGCGTGGCCTGCCCGGGAGCTAGAGAGGAGGGCACGCACCTCGACCCTGCGAACGACTGCTTTCCCCCGGGCGCACGAGCACCCGGCTGCAGCGTGAAGGGAGGAGACGGGCTGTCGGGCAGGAGGGGGCTCTGGGCCCCACGGCCCTGCGGTCGGCGGGGGGGGGTCAGACGGGAGGCCGTCTGGACGCGGCAGCCCCCCTCTGGGGCAGCGATGAGGACACAGGTCGGCCCGGGCCGGTGCGTGGAGATCGGCAGGAAACCCCGGGCTCTGGTCCTTCTGCGCAACGGGGGGACCGCCCCGCACCCCAGGGAGCGGCCCCCCCGCCCCGCCCCCACGCACCTGGCCTCCTTCACTCTCTGCGCGTCCCCCCGGCACACGTAGTTCTCGACGTAGCCGTCGCTGCAGTTGATCTTCGCCCAGTCCGGGTCGCAGACGTCCAGGAAGTGCGGCCGCAGCCGGCCGACGGAGTACTTGGCGATGTCGGTCAGGGACTGGCTGGCGGCCGCGCCGAAGAGGAACGTGCCCACGGCCTTGTACACGGTGGCCACGTAGTGGTTCCTGACGAAGGAGTTCGAGTGCAAGAGGTTGCAGTACACACACACGGTCTCTCCAACCACCATCTGGGGGGGGAAGCAGAGAAACGGCATGTCACGGCGGCAGCGGCCGGGCCCTGGGAGCAGCCTGGAAGTGGGGGAGAGAGCGGTCAGTCACGGTAACGACCTTCACCTCACACACAGCCCTCCCCGCCCCCCCCACAGACGGAGAGCCAGCGGGGGCCGCTGGGCCACAGAGAGGGCGTCAGAGCAGCGGTGGGTGCTCTTCACACGGCAGCGGCCCAGCCACAGCAGCTCCGCAGTCTGTCCAAAATGGTGCGACCTCATCCCGCTCTCGCACGGAAATCAAGTGGCTCCAGCAGGCAGGCAGCCAGCCAGCGGTGTGCCGCGGGCAGAAACGGGTGCTGTCCAGAGAACGGGTGCCTCCCTGGGCGGGCGCCCCACCCACTCGCCCCCAGAGTCTTTGCTGCTGGCCGGCAGGCGCTCCTCGGGACCCCGACTTCCGCCGCACGAGCAGGCTGGGAGTGTGAGCGGGAGAGCTCCAGCATCCGGGCCGGGGGCGGAGGGCGGAGGTCAGCTGGTCAGCTGGTCCTGCATCCCAGGGGGCCTGGAGAAGGTCAAGCACACGCCGGACGCTCTCCTGCAGGAAGACGCCACGGTGCCGCCGTCCTCCGGGTCGTCGCTGGCTCTGCGGGGCGGAGTGAGTCTCCCTGGGTCCCGGCCGGCAGGCGCACGACCCCGCAGCAGCGCGATGAGGCTTGAGGCCAAGAGGGGTTTCCGGGCACTTGCCAAGTCCACAGGCTACTGCCCTGAGAAGTTCAAAGAGACTGAATGGCAACATCACGAACGTTACGTTTGCTGGGGAAATAGGCCGCGCTCTCGCAGCAGCCTGAGACCAGAGCAGACCCCCCAAGGAGAGCCTGCCTGACCTTTTACCCTGCGGCGGGGGGAGAGGCCCCAGGGCTCGCTTGGGACGCACGCACCTCTCCCGGCCGCACTTCAGTAGACAACGGCCCCTCGCAGCCCCTCGCAGTGAACAGGCGTGCAGAGCGCTCGGGGCCCCCGCTCAGGGGGGTCCGTGGGCTGTGCGTGGGCCACACCACAGGTGACACGGATGGCCGCCTCACGGACAGGACGTTAGGAACCTGACACGAAGAGCCCGTTCCTCACCTGGCCCGGCGGCTGTCCCTCTGACAGCGAGCCCGCGAGCCCGCGAGCCCCGCAGAAGCCGGAGCCCGTGCCCGGCAGTTCCCCGGGACGCCGGAAGCGGCACCGGGAGGCCCGGCAGAGCGGGGCCGGCGCGTTCTAGCTGCAGATGCCGCCGCCTCCGAGTGCAAGGCCAACGCCCTCGTCCAGACACACTCAGCCCCACGGAGACCGACTCCTCCCTGCGGCCCTCCCCACACGCAACTCGATGGGACCCCTCCCGGAGAGCAGGGCTTCCGGACGGGGGACCACAGCCTCCTCGGTGCTGCGTGGGGCTCCCCGGGGCTCTCCCCGGCCGCCCCCAGGGCCCGGCGTTTGGTCTGCGGGCTGGCCTCCGGCTGCTCGGGCAGTCCCGCTCCGGGAGGGCAGCAGCAGGAGAGGGTCTCTCCAACAAGCCGCTGTGGAGCTGACCGCTGGTCACTTAAATCCAGGCCACGTCCGCCGACCCACCCCAGTCGGAAACACCCTTGTCTCCGCCGTCCTGGGAGAACAATCACGTCTTCTCCGGAAACAGGTGTCCAACCCGGGTCTTCCCAGTCCCCGGCGCCGTCATTAAGGGCCCCGGTTCCTGCCCCCGAACAGAGGGACCCGCGGACCAGGAGCGAGCGGGGTAAGAGCCGATCCTCAGCAGCAGCAGCTGGCACTCCCCCGACTCGGGGGAGGGGAAGGGGGTCTGAGCTGGCCACCGGGAGGCCCCCTCGCCCGGTGTGTCGTTCGGGCTCCGGGGCTCCGCGCGCACGGAGGGGAGCAGGCGGGAGAGAAGGCTCCGTCCTGGGCCGGCCGAGGAGTCCGCTCAGTGTTTTCCGAGAAACGAAAGACGCGTTTTTCACGTTCACCAGAGCCTCGACGGACTGACTTGGGTGTCCGGAGTCTGTCGGCGCTCTCCCGCGCGGTAGAACGTCGACTGTTCTCAGTTACGGTCCTGACTGGGTCGCTGTCAACGTCACCGGGTCCGCCCGACCCTGGGGCACCGTCCAGCGAGAAATCTCCCAGCACCAAACTCCCAGCAAACCGCTTCTGACACGCCCCATCCGTGACAGCCCCTTCCCCGCACACGGCACACATCCCTCTGCACTTCCGCTGCACCGTCGCCTTTCCTGGCGTGACAAAGGGCAACGCGGGGTCCGTCCGGACAGTACTTTCTCGGCCACACGTGAGAAACAGAGACACTCTCTGGAGACAAGGCGAGAAACATCGTGCACACGGGACAGGGACGCCTCCGTCCCCTTCAACGCAGGCACCTGGACCTCACGCGGCTCCTCGGCGTCTCTCCCTCTGGTCAGTCTCCTCTGCGGGACCCCTTGGAGGCATCGCCATCGGCTGCCCCGTCGCACTTTCCTGAATCTCATCGATGGTCTAAGATCGCTTCTCTCTCACAGGTGACTGCGGTTTCAGAAAGAGCCGGAAGCCTTGGCTGACGCAGCCCGCCCACGCTCAGCGTCCTCAGGGGGTCGGCGTGCTGCCGGCCTTCCAGACGCGGGCCGCTCTCCACGGACTCCCGGCGTCTCTGAAGCGTCCGTGCCGCACTTTCGTCTGCGCTGCACTCGCCGCCTCGTCCCCGAGAACCTTCGGAACCGTCCGAATAGTTTCTGCGGAGGAGTGTCCAGCTCAACGCAAAATCCGGCACAGATCCGTCACCCACTCCTTCTGCCTGCAACGGCCACACAGTCATGTGCTCAGCGGCGTCTACCGTCCCCACCGACGAGTGCAGTGCGGGCGTCACGGCTGACGCCGGCACACTCCAGTCCGCCCCCAGCTGCCAGGTCACAGCGGTGTCGCGAGAACCATCCTTGTTAACAGCGGCTGCACTTTTTCTGGACAGAACTGGTAGCCGAAAACGCTGCATATTTTCTCCCATCTTCAGTAGTAAAATGGCTCCACAAAAAGTCACCAATTTTAATGTTTTTCTTTAATGCACATGGATACGACAGCTGTCACGGTGCAATCTAACAAAATTGTTTTGGATGAAGTTGAAGACAAGCACCACTAGAGCCATCTTACGGGGGAAAAAACAAACAAACTTTCGGGCCCACCTAACCGCTCTCCCAGACCGGACGCGGGGACGTGTGTCCGTCTTGCCGACTCAGGGGCCGTGTCTCGCTCCCTTCGCACCCCGTCTCCCGCCCGCCCGCTGGGCCGCTCACACCCACTCTCCGCCTGAGGCGGCGGCCGCACGGAGGTCGCCCCATCTGCGGCCGGGTCTCGGGCCAGGCGCCTGGCATAGGCCACTCACTCACTGCGGCTCTAAAGGTGGAGCCAACCATTGAAGAGCGGAAGACAGTGTTCGGGGGAGTGGCCGGGATACTTCCGAAGGTCAGAGCCGACAGTGCCCTCAACCGCTGTGACGGGCCATCTGACAGGCACGCCCGCAGCGCCCCCTGCCCCGCACCGGACCCCGCATCCCCATGCTGTCTCCGCAGCCGCGGTCTCCCGCTCGGGGGCCCCCCCTCCCCAGGACCGGCCAGCTCACCGGTGTGTTCCCACTCCTTCCCGACCCCGGCACCGCCCCTCTCTCTCTCCGACCACATCTCTCTCCCGACAGTCAACACTGTCTCATCCGACGGGAGGGTTTCTTCTCAACTTCAGAGCAGAGTTTGCCTTAACCTCAGTCGTACCTGGCACGGCGGACCACACCTTCCTGCTGACACCCTCCCGGGCTCCTGAGAAACGACCTCCGTCGGCGGGGCTCGCGCTCTCTCTCTGTCTCTCTCTCCCGCTCGCTCTCTCAGCGGTGGGAACGCAGTGCACAGACCTGTCCGGAGGATAGGGGTCGCCAGTCTCCTCTCAGCTCTTCACCCCCGTGCAGGGGAGTCGGCAGCGTGACCGCGAGCCGCTCGGGCTCGCCCCCCACGCGTGGGACGCGCGGGCCCCACGCCAGGCTGTGAGGCCCCTGAGAAGGGCCGGGGGCCGTCCCTGCCTCCGGGGCGCCCGGCCGCGGGGAGCACACGTCTGGAGAACAGAGGCTCCCTCTCGCCGGGCCTGTCCCACGACTTCCGGGCTGTAAGGAGCTGTGACCGTCCTCGAATAAGACGTCACACGTCTAAGTTAAGAATTGGCCTGTGTTTTAGATCCACTCCCAAACGGACGAAACGGCGTTCTTGTTCGGTTGGCCCAGCTCCCCGATGGGACCGCGTTTTCTGCTTTCAACTCAGATAAACCACGTTTCCGAAGTCGCAGGTTCCAGAGCAGGAAACTACCAGAAACCACAGCACCTCTGGGTCGAGAGGCCGTAAAAACCCTCCAGTCCAGTGGCTTGAAGTCTTCTCCCCAGGGCCGGGAACCCTGGAAAGGGACGGTCACTGTTGTTCCGGGACCAGTGAGGACCGCTCACGCTCACTGCTGATTGTGTACGTACGGAACGTGACCTTTTCTCTCCCGTTTCCGGCCCGCCTAAACGTTCTCTGGGGCAGATGTGGGTTACGTGACGTCCCGACATCGGTTGGCACCCTTGCTTTGCCGGGGCGCAGGCAGTCGACAGGAGGCACAGACGCACAGAATCGGTGCGCTGTAAAGTAAGGGCTGCCCCACGCACGGAGCAGACACCCACTGGCATCCACACGCGTCTCTTGCGTGGCTACTGACATCTCAGCGAAGGAGAACTTGAACATTCTCCGTGAGCTCCTCCGATCACACGCTGCCGCTCTCCCGGCCCCGCCCACGACCGCGGGAACCACCTGGGTCGGACGACCCCTTCGACGCAAGGCTGAAAACACGCCAGCTTCCCAGGGCTATGCCTTCGGGCGGGACCGGGTTAGCACAGAAAACATGCCAGCTGACCGGGAAGTGCAAGTGGGAGGAAAGAGGAGGTGACTTACGACGATAACACTGAACGGAATGATTATTCCGCCCAGCAGGGCGTAGGGGATGGTGTCTTCCTTGTAAGGGTACTTGATGGACTCGTCGTTACAGAACAGGCCTCGCTGGAAGGGGGCATGCCGCGCGTTCAGGATCACACAGGGCAACCCGGCTGGCGGAAGGAACAAACGAGAACAGCGTTAACGCGAGAACGTCCCGGCCGGCGACCGGCAGCAGCTCCCCCGGGGGCCGGGCGCGCGTGGGGTGGGGGGGCAGCAGCGGTGCAGGCGGCAGAGGTTAGAGGCTGCAGTGCAGGGCGAGGCTGTTTTTCTGCAGAACACAGCGCTTCCGAGGCCTCCACGGAGCAGCCCGCCCAGGACTGACCTCCTCCCGGTGTTTCTGCCCAAACATGATGTGGGCTTCCGGGGGGAAAAAGGAGGAACCCCCTCTCGTGCGCATCAGCTCGTCACAGGGTTCCCAGCACCGGGTTCAGGCCCGTGGTCACGGACTCCGCTTCCGAACGGGACACAGCGCTGTGTCCCCCAGGTTCGCCTGTTCACCACCACAGCGGGGCAGGACAGGGTCACTGGCTGGGCCTTCAGGGCATCCAGCGGAGCTTTATCCACTGGCGGCTGGGCCAGCCACGGCAAGGTCACAGCCGCCGTGAAAGGCGTCTGGGCAAACAGC